ATTAGGTAAATGTTACAAAATGTTTATTCACGAGAAATTGTGATCTGCAATGATAGCGGAGCCGGTCAGCCGCATTCCATGCTGTCTTTGCAGTTCGAAGACACAGTTATCGAGGCAGTAGACGAGCAAAATACCTCAACGCATATTTTCACAATTAAGTATTGTCAATAATTGATTAAGTGGTCAGTTTTTGATGACAGTGCTGTGAAAGAGAACTCCGTATTGACCAATACCATTCATACCTGAGGTCGCTCCGATCGTGTCCCTTGCTCGATATTACCAGCAACGCGGGATCAGCTATACATTGCACGCGGTCTGCGCACCGACATCGTGAATCGTGATCCACATTTTCGAGCAGTAAACACATTCTTAACTAAATGGGTGAGTTTACTATAAATGATATCCTTCACAATTCTTAAACAAATATATCCTTCATGTTCTTTAATAGGATTATTTATTATTAAGCTAGCATTGTGAATCGTTCGTTAATTCTGTTTGGATATGGCATTGTCGAAATGAAAATAATTACGAAAAAGGAAAAGTAATAATTTTAAAAGTAATAATTCTTTCTTAAAAGGTTCTTTTTAAAATTTACATTCCTTATTGTCATTTTGAAGTGTGCAGCATAATTATTAAGGAAATTTATTCCAAAAATAAAAACTGATGTATTAATCAAGTACTTTGGTATTAAAATTTTGTAAAATTCAAAAAATGGAGTTAATCACTCTGGCATGTAAGCAGTCCATCTACATGTATGAATAGGAAAAAGATACTCAAAATCCTGTTCCCTATAATGTATTTAAAAATCATCAAAATAAGTAAAAATGGAAAACTAAATAATTATTAAACATTCATTATGCATTATACGTAATTATAAAATACAAAAACGAATAACATGAAGAAAATATATTAATGATAACTACATCTTTCCAAACATTCTTTCATGCTATATGTTAATGAAATTGCGTGAAGAAAAGCAATAAAAATGTATCATATAAGTATGTAAGACATTTAAGCTTTCAAACCTTATCCAAATTCTGAAGAACCGTAAAACTTTCAAGATCACAAAAATTTTCAAAACTTCGAGGACGATTAAGTCTTTCAAGAATTTTAAGGTTTTTAATCAGATTCGAAGTAATTCGACTCATGTGCCATTTTACAGATTAAAATTAATTCGAAGCGCTTCATATGCGATCACTATTTGTGAGTTATTCTCAACTCCTAATAGTAGTAGTACCAGTAGTTATTAAACAATATCACGAAAATTATTCATTTACGCTAGATATGACAATTACATTTTTGTATTTGTATTCATTTATATTTATCATGTTAAAACGAATATAGTAATATCTGATATGAACCGAAAGCTTGGGGAGTAAGCAAGGAACCTACACATTTCCTTGTCAACGTCAAATCTTCCAAATCTTTGGTCACGCAGGCCGGTAATACTACAAATTGCATTAAATCATTGATTGGGTCATTGCCGAAAATATTGGCAGGGGTAATTAAACAGAGAGTTTATCCTACAAAATATTAAAAATCGACTTTATAATTAATAATGTTATTATCTATTAGTTATCACGTTTTCAAAGGTGTATGAACACTTTTATGGGACACTGAATATGTATTCGTACCTGATAATTCGGAGATAATTGAAGAAATATTTGTTCTACAAACGATCTACAATGCAACTCAGTATAGAAATCGAAGACTTTGTTGTTGATGCATATTATTATCAGAATCACTATCTTGCAGTCTTGTGGTATATTGCAGTTGCAATGCATTTGCTTTCTGCCGTCAATATTCTCTAAACTGCGGTACACACAAGTTTTCGCATGATCCGTATTATGTATAATAACAGAAAGTATTATTTTTTCGGACAGAGTTGATACATGAATCACTGTCAAATTTATTGACAATAGCAATTAGTAAAATTCTCGTCGATATGAAGTTATTAGTCGACGAAATATCGCGACCATAATGGTTTAGGAATTTATGTATGCGTACATATATATACATGTTGTTTGCTTTGCCTTAATTGGTAAGGAATTTGCTTATAATATACCGTTGAAATAATGTGTTTGGTACAAACTTGGGCACATTTAAAATAAAGTTACTGAAAATTCTATTTTTTAAATATTATTTTAAATATGTTATTTTAATTTACAATTATTTGAAATAATCAATTGAGATAATTGCGAAATTCTCTGAATCTGGTTTTTATTGATATCCTCATTGACATTCCTGCAAGATAAAAGTACCGGTTTAACTATATAAAATGATTGCTCGATATTAAGCCCTAGAAAGATAACCATATGACAACGTACGTAAAAGATAACCATACGCTTCAGAGGCGCATGCTTTTCTAAGGCGTCAATTTTATACTAACAATGGATATTTATTTAAGTTAATCTAGTCATTTTATAGGTTTGGCATTATTGTAAAAATAAAATGCATTTATATTATATTTTTTTATATTTTAAGTAATTTTAAACTTAAATCACTAGACCTCTATGAAAAATT